TTTATCAAAAGAAGAAAGAAAAACTTGGACAAACTCCCCAGATCTCTCTTTGAGAATCACCTCTCTGTCTCAGTCAGAATAGAAACCGTCCCACAGCGTTTATTGCTGTTTGTTTCTTTGCTTTAGACATAGATCTCATTATGTTTTGGATATATGAACATTCTCTGTTCTGGTCTGCGATGCTGCAGACTTGTTAAGTGGAGCTTTGCTTTATAGAATACACCTCTGGTTTTTTATTTACTTTCATTTTTTTTAATAACTTTGCAGATTCAAGTCAAATGTGAGAAATTGTTTTAATGTGTGTATAGCACAGAGACAGAAGTGAAAAAAATCAGCACAGATCTGCTCACCCTGCGTAGTCAGAGCCTCTCTATACGCAGTCAGTGGAAAATAATCAGATTGGAGACTAAAAAGTCGTATGCAGCCAGTGTGTTCAGGCCTTTAGTTTAAAGGTGACACCTACTCTGTTAACTCCTCCCTGCCAGTAAGTGGTGCCCTCGTGCTGCCTCATTCGTCCCTTCAGTTGCCAGGCCTGCCAGCAAATATTTAGCTAAGCTGTCCAGAAGGAAAACAGCAACCTCTACAATGAGCCCCTTTGCTTCCTTAAGTTGTGTCCAATGCTCTCCCTGATTTCTTTTTTGTATTATTTATATATTCTTTGAATATACGTAGTACTGCTCTTCAAAATATGGTATATTGGAACTGTCAAAATTTATGAAAGAATGACTTACGTACTGTGTGTTTTTTCAGTGAAATGTATTATATTACTCAGCAGAACATGTTCTGTGTGTTCTTTTTTATGATCATTTTCATGAAAATGTTGTAGCTATGTCCTTGAAATAAAGTGATGTGTGAAGTGCCCTGGAAATGAAAAGGGACCCTCCATTAGTCATCTTTCTGCTTAATAGGTAAGATGTTTCCCAGAGGCGTTAAAAGTATTAATGTTTATTTCTCCAGTAGAAATATAAATCCTGCTGTTTAAAAACATGTTTGTAGAAACTAGAAGATCAACTTAAGCTTTTTACTCGTGAAAAAGTGTAAAAGCACCATTTCTAAAACTACTTAAAGTATAAAAGGAAAAGTAATGCAGGAAAAAATGTTAAGGACAGAAGCTTTACTGCATTACCCTATTAAAGGAACATTTTTCTACAATTTTGGATGATAACTTCCCTAGACTTAATTTTCTTAGTTTTATAACTAATGGTAACAATTCAAAATTCATCTTTGCATCATCTGGAAAAACTATTTATCTTGGTATGTGGTGAACAACAAGTTGGGGCAGCACCGAGTCCAACCACAAAGAAATTAATTGTCTGGATGAAACTAATAATTTTAATTTTTTAAATTTTAAGACCAACAGGCCATAAAGAAAATTAGCTTAAATTAAACAAAACTAATCAATCTATTTTTAAAATGTAAAGAGAAGAAAATTAAAATATAGATAGCCAATATTTCTACCTAAGTAAGGAAGTATTAGTACTTCGTTACTTGACACCTCAGACTAAAGGAGAGAAAATTACATCCTGGAAGAAAACCTGTTTGAGGCGAAAATAGACTTGAGATGGTTGCAGGTTCAAACTCTAACCGGAAACAAACAACTAACAAAGAAGTTCTGCACTGCAAAGATTGAAATACAGGAAAGTTAAATAAGTACAAAAAATGTTCCAATGAAATAAGATGATTTACATTTACAAATATGAAAAGACAATTGCATTCTGATATCTGCATGAGAGGTAGAAAAACTATTTTGATAAACGTAAAAAGTCGACATCTTTGCCTTTCAGTGAACAAGGCAAGCAGGAGCAGTTCTGAAAAGCTCAGAGAAATGCAGAAAAAGGTCAAATACAAAATGTAAAACTCAAAAAACAATGATTGTTCAATTCTACTCTAAGATAAATAATTATAGAGAGGTTACATTTGAAATTACGTGTTAGGAAGAGCCGTTTATCACCTTGTTAAATGCATAGGAATTGTAATATCCCTTTAAAGAGATTATCTACAGCCGAGTTCTACCATCGCATCACATGTTTTCTAAATGGCTGTAATCCACAATCCTATAATCCCAACCGATCAAAGGTTGAGATTAGCATCAGTCTGGAAGAGCCAGAGCTGCAGATAGGACGACGATGACAGAGGGAGAGCTCAGGCATGATGGCGGCAACGCTGCACAGAAAGAGATTGGTGCACACAAATAGCCGGCCAATCACAGAGCAGGCAGAGGGAATAACAAGGCCCAGGGTGTTTGGTGGGGTGGGTGGGCTGGAAAGCAGGGTAGAGCTATGAAAAAGCAAGGAAGAAGGTGAAATCACAGCCTCAGAGAGAAGACACCAACAAAGAGGAGGGATAGAGATGAGTGGAGGAGAGAGCGCCGATCAGTGAGCTCTCCAGAGAGGAAGACGAAGGAGATGAGCAGCCAGAGAGGGAGGGAGGGTGAGCAGCCAGCACAGAGGACATCCATCAGCTGAAGTAGCCATGCTCTGAGCCCTGGAGCAGCAGGGCTACGCAGACAGAGCACAGGCCCTGAATCAGGCCACCGCTCAGCCCTACATCCCTTCCACAGACAGCAGATCCTATCCTCCTCCGCTGCAAGCAAGAACCATGAGGACGGCCCGGAAGGGCAGCGTGGAGATGCCTGCGTTTGTGAGACAGCTGGTCAAAGAAACAGAGAAGAGGGTCAGCTCTTTCTTCAAAGGAGGCCGTGGGGGAGCATCGGAAGGGGAGCAGCCAGGGGAGGGGGAGAAAGAGGAGGTCATTCCCAGCCCCTACCTAGACCGACCAGTACTGGACAAGCTGACGGAGGAGGGCTGTGCCCGGTGGGGCCTTACCTACGCCCTGGGGAGCATGCAGGGCTGGAGGGCCAACATGGAGGACTTCCACAACTGTGTACCACAGCTGGGGGGAGAGCTCGCAGAGTGGAGCTTCTTCGCCGTATTTGATGGCCACGCCGGCAGCAGCGTGGCTCAGTACTGCTCTCAGCACCTTCTGGGTCACATCCTGGCCACAGGTAGAGTTCACAAAAAACACACGATGCGCACTGGTTTGTATTTTATCTTAGCTCACCCCTTTTGTGCACACAGCTGGTGTCCGACTGGAGGACCACCCTGAAAAAGTGAAAGGGGCCATCACAGAGGGCTTCATGCAAACAGACAAGCACCTGCACTCGGTGGCCCGGCGAGAAGGCTGGGAGAGAGGCGGCACCACCGTGGTGTCCGCCCTCATCTCCCCATATTACATCTACATTGCCAACTGTGGCGACTCCAGGGCCATGCTGTGCCGCTCGGGGCAGGTGTTCTTCTCCACTGAGGACCACAAACCCTACTGCCCTCTGGAGAAGGAGCGAATTGAAAGTGCCGGCGGGTCAGTGTCCCTTCAGAGAATCAACGGCTCCCTGGCCGTGTCCCGGGCTTTGGGGGACTTCAGCTACAAAGGGGCAGAAAATCGGACCCCCAGCCAGCAGATGGTCTCACCAGAGCCAGAGGTGTGCATCGTAGAGCGCTCGCCCTCGGACGAGTTCCTGGTTCTGGCCTGCGATGGGGTGTGGGACACCATCAGCAATGAGGAGCTGTGTGCTTTCATCCACAACCGGCTGCAGGTCTGCACGGACCTGAGGGATGTCTGCAGTCAGGTCATCGACCTCTGTCTGTACAAGGTCAGAGTAAAGCCAGTGAATCTTACCTTAAGGCTTTTTTTGATCACATTGTGGTCTGACTGCAACATCATCAACAAAGCCATTCACAAAGCCGTACATTATGCTTAATAGACTTTTATCTATGACCTAAAGGTTGTCAACATTTCCTTTAGGTTGAGTTTGGAGTAAGATTTTCAGGTACTCGTCACTTTTTTTTTAAAGAATGAATAATGGATACCTTCAAACTGACTTACATTTCACAGGTCAGGCTGCTCCATTAAGGGATTCAAGGCTAGTTGAACATGCTGGCCTATATTGTCATGTTTTATTTTATTGCATTTGACTGGTGTAAATTTAGACAATGCTACACTGAAAGGCTGCCTCACAGTTTTCATAATACATAAGTTGAAACACACAAATGTTGTTGACTTGACCTATTATTTACTAGAGCTATCACTGTTAGCAGAATCTAACATTAAATTAAAATCAAATCTGAAGATAACAATCGACTGTGGGGGCGACAGTGGCGTTGGATGTAGGAGTTTGCCCTGAAATTGAAGGGTTGACGGTTCAAGCCCCGACTCCAACTT